AGAGTCACTAAACTAACATTGAAATTTATAGATAGCAATTATGAAATCAAGAAATAGCAAAACTTAGACCATCAATAAAGGTACAAAAAAGTATGACCTGCTGGGAGATACACTCCATATGCCACATCAGAGAAAACATTAGGGCAATAATTTCAAATGATTCTGTTAAAAGAAGAAAGGTATAGAGTAAAAGGACACCTTAGGGAAGAGTCTGAGATTCCAAATAGAGAAGAAATGGCAAGAGACTCTTAAAAAAAAACACTTCAAAAACTCTTCCAGTAAGCATCAATTCTCTATGAAAATCTCAGTAACCTGTTTCTGTACAGGACACTCAGTCTGTGAAGGTTTGAGAGATTATAACTAATTATATGAAGTGAGGACGCTGAGTAACTTTCTGTACAGTATCCAAATTACAGAAACAGAAGGATTTTATTTTCCAAGTGTTAAGCCATACCCACAGGAAACAAACAGAGTTACTCTACCCTCTCAAGCGCCTTAGCTAGTCATGCATTCTACAAGTCTCCATGGCAAATTTCCTAGCACACACTTGTAAACACAAAGACCTCCTCCAAGTGAACGGCAATAAATAGATGAGTGCAACTTAAACTAGAAAGATCTTCTGCTGCCTCTGGGATCTTTTTAATAAGATAATATCTAACATTACTGTCACACCTTGCCATCCCTAAACTTGTGGAGAAACTATAAAACCATAGAAGCAGCCTTAGAAAAAAAAATCTAGTGAATCCAATCACTTCATTTTTCTGATGAGGAAATTGTCCCACCAAAAGTGGGATGCCTTGCCTAAGGTCATGCAATTCGTTCGTTACTCAGAGGTGTAGTAAGGCCTAGGATGACCCATCAACTGTCTCCAGGAAGCCTGAGAAATATCCTGGAAAAATGATCTGAAACTAAGCACCTGATACCATCTATGAGGATGAAAATTTGTGCTGAGCCCCCAGTTCTCAAAATTGTGACAGTAACAAAAACCAGACAGTTAAGCACATACATAATCCCCTGCCCACCACCACTGCAATTTCATCGACTTTCCCCCAATCAAGAATAATGAATGACATGTAGGTGATCACAGGGCTACCTTAACACAGGAGGGCCGCGGTGAATTCTTTAGGAAAAATAAACTTTGGAATTTTAATATTAGTACATAACATTACTTCCTTTGACAAACCACAGGATAATTTTTACCAAGCCAGTTCACTGTGCCACAAGATTGAGAACTACTGTTCCAAAATACAGGCAGTTTCTGGGTTACAAACATCCTACTTTGGATAACTCTTTCTTGTCCTTTAATTACATAAATTTGCCCTTACTCTTAACAAGGGGTCCTGGTGTGGCACTACAGGATAAGCACTGGACTACTAACCACAAGGTTGGTGGTTCAAACCCACCAGCCACTCCTCAGGAACCTATAAAGGATCAGTGAGTTGAAGCAGACTCAAGGACATTTGATACTGCTAACAAATTCACACCAATCACCTTCATGTGATGCATAGACAGCTTTTAAATTATTGAAAAGGCTTCCAGCCTTTTCTTATAGTACAGACTAAATAAGAAATTTGACTTAAAGTCACAATTAGGAATGATCTAAGCTGGGGACTGCCTGTAAAAATAATCACTACAGGTACAGCAAATGGTGTGAAAACAGGAATCCTATAAACAATAGTGAGGATTATGTCTACCTTTACCTCCAAACTCTGTTGAAGCAGATTTCAGCAGGAAATTGACTCTGTTGGACTGAACAAGTTTAAAGGAGCCAAAGGAGAGGCAGCAGGTATCCCCTCTTTAGGGCCTTCGCAAATCAATGGAGAGTACACAGAATTAGGCAATTCAATGTGGAAATGAGGTCTGAATTCCAAACCCCAATGCTGCCCTTCAGTGTGGCCTTAAGATTTTTTTCACTCCAACATCTGTGCTTCTTATATATCAAATTTGAGTTATACAATTCAAAACTGATTTTATACAAATCGAAGTTGCGCAAAATGAAATTCTTGCTGTCTAACTACCATTCATTCCGTTTGGGGTCAAAGTGGGATGCATCTACCTGCAGGACACTTATTTATAAAAACAGAGTGAGATAGACAGGGAGACAGATGTTTAATATATTTTTTATATTTTGTTGTTGTTAAGTCCTGTCGAGTCGATTCTGACTCATAGTGACACTGTATAGGGTTTCCGAGGAGTGGCTGGTGGATTTGAACTGACTCAGTAGCACTTAACAAAAACAACAACAATGAATAAATGTTTTGATGCACGTGCTTAAAGAAATTAACGTAGAGGAAAAGGTGTACTTAAGTTTGGGGACCACTTCTCTAGTCCCTTGGTAACTGTTGCTCAGTAAAGCTGGGATTGAGCCTAAAGGGGCAGATAGAAAGTACTTAGAAAAAGCCCCGAGCTGAGGAGGTCAAGGTGTCCTATAAGTTCCACTGGAATGTGCAGACTTACAGCACCTGTGCCCCTGAGACTCATTGGACTAGGTGCTTTCCTCATGCATAAAAAGAAAACATACAAGAGGGCTTCAAAAAGTTTGTGGAAATTTTCAGAATCTTTTAATTCCATTTTTCTACTAACGTCTTGAAGCACCCTCATACTGCCCTCTAGAAATCTCCTATAGATAGGGTGGCCATCTAATTTATAGTCCAAACCAGGATAGTTTTGAGGGTGAAGTAAGCAGGGTATATGGTCAACCAACCTACAGACTAGAAATCTAGAAAGTAGAAAATGTTTGCTCAGAAAATGTTGTGATGCTAGGTCAGGCAATCTACTCTGAACTGGTGCCAATTATTTTTCAGTTTCCCAAACCATAAACATAACTTTTTTAAGGCTCACAGTTAAGGATTCAGCATTTCACTCCATTTAGTGATCCCTAAGGGAAGATGGTGGAGTCCTGGTGTGGCGCTGTGGGTTAATGCGCCAGACTGCAAAGCCATTTGGACTGCAAGGTCGGCAGTTCAAGCTCACCAGCCACTCCTCGGAAACCCTATACAGGGTCGCTATGGGTCGGAACCGACTGACAGCACTTCATAACAAAATAACAACAACAACAAGGGAAGATGGTAGGAGATCTGATAGCATCAGTGGTTACAAGGTCAGCAGTTCGAAACTACCAGCTGTTCCACAGGAGAAAGATGAGGCTTTCTGCTCCAGTAATGATTTACAGCCTCGGAAACCCTGTACAGGGTGGCTTTGAGTAGGAAGTGACTCCATGGCACATAACCACCAATACCAAGGGAAGATGTTTGAAGTTCTGGAGAAACATGGTCTCATGAAACTATAATTCTGTGTGATTTGGGGTACTAATACAATATTATAAGACTCCCTCTTTCCATACAGGACAAGTCTATTCACTAACAGTCAAAAATCTATTAAACAAAGACTTCAAAACTGGTCAAAATAATAAAGTCATACTTCTCTACTACAGATGATTTGAAAGAAGTTCGGATAAAGACACCTCTTCTCTTTCAGCATGAATTCTGTTTCTAGAGGCCTTGGTTTGGGAAATAGCCCATTTCCTTTATTCAGGTTCCTTTCCTCACTTCTTATTCCAGTTTAAACTTTCCCACTTAACGTATCTTTGTGGAAACACTACTTATATTGCAAATGTAAGCTTGTTGGTTAAGCTTCAAATCCACCATACTGAAGGAAATGAACTTGAAATACAGAACACTTGAGACACAGAAAGAAATAAACAAGGGGGAGGGGGGGAAGGGTGCCTGGTGGCAGACGTTAGAGACAAGTTCCAAAGCAACAGGCCGCAAATACTAGAAACCTCTGCAGTGGGCAAGCAGAACACCGTGCCACCACCAACCTAGAATACAGCAGTGTTCTGGCCTGCAGAAAAATGTCATCACATGGGGCTGTTATTCCTTTACAACTACTTCTAAGAGAGCTCTTTCAGTAGCTTTAAAGTAATAGGAAATTCCCTTTACCCAAGGTCCTCTAGGAATCCCTTCCTCCCTCAAACGGTTCTTTCACTGCTCTTGATTTAATCACCCAACTGGCTACACAACGTGCAAGAATGAGGGTATGCACCCTGCATTCAATTACCCAATTCTTTCTCTACGGGTGGCGTTTGCCACCACCACCACCTGAAACACTATTTTAGATTCCTCTTTTCGGAAGGAAAGACCTAAAATGCTCGGGTTCCTGTTTGAGGGAAACTTTGTAAGTTAGGGTCACATGAGGGGGTCGTCCGGCTCCAGGAAGCTCAAAAGAAAATTTGTGTTAGAGAACTGCCTTACGCGTTGCGTTGAGCATATGCTTTGGAGTTTTATTTTTCTTCAGACAGCTTTTAACTCGGGTTAGCATTCCGTCTTTAAAAGGTCTTGTTAAGGAAAGTATTTTCACCCAGAGAAACCTGCAATTTCCCCCTCCTTCTCCCTTGTTTGCGTCAGGCTCCTCGGCGTGCCCCAGAACCCCGGGCGTGTGTGGGGAAAGTGGTTCTGGGCCCAGGTGGCAGTTCGCTCTACCTGGATGGGGCCAAATGGAAGGAGAGTCGCCTGGACTGAGGGACAGGTGTTTCCTCTCCCCACGTGCTGGAACCCAGGAGGCTCCAGGTGCTTCCCCACGAAACGTGCCTCGCTTTGCAGACTCAGGCCAAGTGCTCCACGCCCTAACCCCCGCCAGTCGCGAACTCCTGCCAGCTGCGCGGGGGCCCGCGTGGGAAGGGACGGTCGCGTCAAAAGGCTGCCAGGGGCAAGCGATTCCAGATCCTCCCTCCTCCTTGGCCCCAGATGCACTTAAGGGGGAGGGAGTAGAGCAAGAGTATTGAATGTGTCCGCAAAGTCTGGTATAAGGACCCGGACTGCCAAAGTTTGTAAAGTCTGCAACACGCTAGTAGGGGCAAAGCAACCCCCCCTCCAAAACTCCAAAACACACACAGGTTACCAGACACCTCCTCCCCCTCCCCCCCCGTGGGAGACTGACCGCTGGCTCCGCCCACGCGGCGCCCCTCTGCCCCTCCCCCCGGACCCACAGCCCGCACTCACAGCGCTTGGGTGAAGGCACTGAGCCCCTCGGGCACGCCCGTCAGCCCCTTCCCGGAGCAGTCCACCCGACGGTCGCCGTCGCAGATGCAGGGCGCCGCGCAGAGAGGCGGCGCCGCGCCGCTGGGCCCAGCCGAGCCGCGCAGCCCCAGGGCGAGGAAGCAGAGCAGCCCCAGCGGGCCCGGCATTGCTGCGGCGACCTCCCGCGCTGGCCTCTCCCGCGGCACCGCTCGCTCCGCGTGCCTCCTCGACCCTCCGACGCCCCCCGCTGTCCCGGGAGACCGGTCTGCGGGCTGGGGCTGGGGCTCTTCTCCCTCGACGCTCCTCTCTGGATCGGGATCGGCCACTTCAACAGTCCTTGGCGGCAGCAGCGCAGGGACGCAGCGCTCCGGAGTTTCGCCTTTGCTGTTGCCCCATGGAAGCGTAGAGGGAGCCCCGCTCCTCCGGCAGCTCAGGCCAGCCAGCCGGGCCGGGCGCAGCCGCCGGGGCCGCGCTCTGCCATCGCGCCCTCCTCCCTCTCCTCGGCCTCGCGCCGTAGCTGCTTTTCAAGGTTGCAGAGCGCAGCCTTCAGCCATGCCGGCCCCTCGCTCCGGCCCCCGCACGACTCTTGCACAAACACTCAGGCTCTCGCTCGCTCTTTGCCCGCCGCCGCTTAAGCTCTTCTCGTCCTTTTCCCTTCTAGGGTTGCACGCTCCGGTTCCCAAGCCCCCAGCCGCTGGGTTATGCAAATAATTTAGGTACATGCAAAACTAACCCTTCTCCCGGAGCGCCATTGGCCCGGGGAGGTCTCGAGCTCATTACTATGCATAGAGGGAAGCCGCCATTGGCCGAGAGTAGGACTAGAGGGGCGTGTTTCTCAGGCGTGAGTGACAAGGTGGTGGTGGTGGTAGTTCAAGACAAAATCCCTGACTTGACTGGATTTGCGTGGCAGGTTGTGGATTGAAGGTAGAAAGATCGCAAGACAAGGAGTCTGGGTTTTGTTTTTTGTCTTTTTTCCTCCCCCATCGGTCTTTTTTGTTCCTCTACAGAAACTGGATCTCCTAAATTAGATGACCTGAAAAGTATAATTTGCCTCCAACATTCTGTTAAGTTTCAAATGACTTTCCACTGTTCCAAAGGATTAGGATGTAGGGAGCTGTGGAAACGGGGGAAAAAGATTTTGAAAAGGAGAGAGAATTTTCCGTCATCTGACACACAGCCTTGGGTTTTAGCTGTATCCTAACTTTTGAAACAATGTACCCCTTCAGCCTCTCCACCTGAAATCTTTGCATGTGCACTTAGTCATAGCAATTAACCGTCTATAACAAAGAGTTTTGGTAAGATTTGACTGTTTCCTTTCACACACTTTAGTCATAACAGTCAAACGAGGTGATATTTATGAACACTGAACACAAAGCATTTTGAGTTCTAGGTGACCTCAGTGGAAAAGCCAGTGCCAGCTTTGGTGCTAGGTAATTACTTATCAGCATTCCCTCCTCTTCTGGACTTTGAGTCCTTGTGGCCTAATCTTATCTGTACCAAATATTGCTTTATGGGCACCTCCTTTCTTGTTTTCCCTTTTGCCTTTAGATTGTTTTACTATGCACTGGAGATATTTCTCATGATTTTTTTTGAAGTGAGACAGGCAGAGTTTAAAATGTCACTATCATATAAAATTGAGTAGTCAGCCATTTCATGTAAATGAAATTAAAGAAAATGAAAACAAGTTGGTGCCTTCTTAGAGGCTTCGAATGGGGTGGGGGGATCGATTTTGTATTCGGAAGTTTATCTGAAAAATAATAACAGACTGGGCACATAACTAATGAACAAGAAATCATGCTAACCAGTTACCAGATTCCTGGTATGGTGCTGTGGTGTGGGTTGATGCACTGGACTACAAAGTCAGTTTGAATGGTAAGATCGGTGGTTCAAGCTCACCAGCCACTCCTCAGAAACCTTATACAGGGTTGCTATGGGTTGGAACCAACTCGACAGCATTAAATTCCAACACCAACCAGTTATAATTAAGTTGATTCTGACCTATGTGTTTCAAAGTAGAACTGCCTTCCATGGGTTTTTTTATGGCCGTGACCTTCCAAAAGCAGATCACCAATCTTTTCTTCTGAGATGCCTTTAGGTGGATCACCCAGGGACTTCATGTACATGCTGCTGTTGTTAAGAGCCATCGAGTCAGTTCCTGACTCATAGCAACCTTGTGTAGGGTTTCAAAGGAGCAGCTGGTGAGTTTGAACCACTCACTTTTTGGTTAGCAGTCCAGTGTTTAACGTACTGTGTCACACCACTGACTCCGTTGTTGTTGTTAAGTGCCGCCGAGATGGTTCCGACCCATAGTGACCTGGCATAGGGTTTCCACCGAGCTTGTAGTTCAAACAGCTTTGCAGTCTGGCGCATTAACTCACAGCACCATACCAGGATTCCATTGACTCCATGAAAGTCAGTAAATACAGGAATTCTTCAGACTGTTGGGCTGAAAGATAAAGAAAGATGAACAGCTCTCTGGTTTTACAGCTAAGGAACCTGAAGTGCTCAGATACTGTGCTGGTCATCACAGAACAATTCTTGGGCCCCGGGCTCTTTGTTTGCTGCTCCTAGTTGTTGTTGTTGTTGTTGTTGCTGTTAAGTGCCATCGAGTCGGTTCCAACCCATAGTGACCCTGTATAGGGTTTCTGAGGAGCAGCTGGTGAGCTTGAACCACCAACCTTGCAATTCAAACAGCTTTGCAGTCTGGCACATTAACCCACAGCGTCACACCAGGACTCCTAGAGTCACCCCTAAATTGTCTTTTAATGTCTAAATCATCTGTATTATGTTCTAGAAAACATCATGAACCAGTGAAAGGAGGAGAAAATTGTAAAGTTCATTCTCTAACTGATTCCTTTAAGACCTACCTTTTTACCCCCACAACATTGGAAGATAATAAAATTCATCTTGCAAAGGTATTAATTGCTTACCGTATTCAAGGCTATGAATCATTACGGAAGCAGACGGCCACTTCTTTCTCCCTCAGAGAAGCTGGTGGGTTCAAACCTTTCAGTTAGGAGTTGAATACTTAAGCACTACGTCACCGGGACTCTTTAACATAGAACAAATTGATTTCTTCCAAACAACTCATTTTCTTTTTAAATCATAGTTCTCATATTAGGTATAACAATCAAATGACATGCTTGATTTAAAATGAAGATTCCAGAACCTCATTGCCAAATATTTTTATTTAGGGCCCCAGGAATCAGCGTGAAAGTGATACAGGTGGCCCATGAGCCATACCTGGAGAACTTTACTGAATCCAGTAAAATGTATAAAATTTCAGTGAATTAAATTTTGTAGCTAGTATGAGAGACTATAGTTTCAATGTAAACTGAAGGATACATTTGTATTGTCTATGGGTTGTAATCGACTCTGCGGCACTTAACAACAACAAATCAGTTGAAAGGAGTCCTGGTGTGGCCCTGTGGGATAATGTGCTGGACCTCAAGGCCTGTTTGAACTACAAGGTCCGCAGTTCAAGTTCACCAACTGCTCCTCAGAAACCCTATACAGGGTCACTATGGATCAGAACTGATTTGAAGACACTTAACAACAACAACAATCAGTTTAAGGGAATCTTGGTATGGGGCTGTAGAACAAGTAATGGACCGACAACCACAAGGTCAGTAGTTCAAACCAACCAGCCACTCCTTAGAAACCCTTTACATTTTGTGATTGTTTTTATTAAATGCCATTGAGTGGGTTCCGACTCATAGCAACCCTGTAAGAGTTTCTAAGGAGCGGCTGGTGAGTTTGAACCACTGACTTGCTACCCAGTGCTTTTCCTACATTGCCACACCAGGACGCCTACATCTTGTGGTACATTACGAAAAAGCAAGAGAAAATGGTTATCCATCATTTTTGTTGTTAAGTAACATTGATTTGGTTCCGACTCATAGTAACCCTGTATCAGGTTTCTGAGGAGTGGCTGGTTGGTTTGAACTATTGACCTTGCAGTTGGCAGTGCAGTACTTATCCAACAGTGCCACACCAGGACTTGGTTATCCATATGTTGTTATTGTCGTTGTTCAGTGCTGCTGTGTCAGTTCCAACTCATAGCAACTCTGGATTGGGTTTCCAAGGAGTGGCTGCTGGGTTGAACACCTAACCTTGCAGTTAACAGTACAATTGCTTACCGACACGGTGGCACTTAATAACAACAAATATATAAAGAAGTGAGAAAGGAGGACTCATTTGCAGCTTGGCCGAGAAGAAGAAGGATCAGGACCAAACAAAGGTAAAGAAACGAAGTTAAAATCTGCTAATGTTAGTGTTCCTCACAGTTGTTTCATTATATGTGTTTCTTTCCTTTGGCCAATGTTGTTATGTTGTTAAGTGCCATCGAGTCAGTTCCGACCCATAGCGACCCTGTACAGGGTTTCCAAGGGTGTAAATCTTTACGGGAGTAGAAAGCCTCATCTTTCTCCCGCGGAGCGGCTGGTAGTTTCGAACCGCAGACCTTAAGGTTCGCAGCCCGATTCGTAACCACTACGCTACCAGAGCTCCTTTCCTTTGGCCAATACCCTTCACTTATTAGATGATGGTGGTGATGGTTGTGTGCCGTGAAGTTAATTCTGACTCAAAGCAACCCTTTATAGGGTTTCCAAGGCTGTAAATCTTTATGGAAGCTCAAACTTAGTGGGCTCTAACACATGGCATACATATACTATCAAACATTACAGAAAACACAAACAGGAAAAGACAACATAGATGACTGGGACCTCCTAAAAATTAGACACTTCGTGCATAGAAAGATTTGCCAAAAAAGTAAAAAAGGGAGCCCACAGACTGGGAAAATTTTTTGCAACAAAATATCAGACAAGGGACTAATATCTAAAATTTACAGAAAACTACAACACTTCTACAAGAAAAAGATGACTCCATTTAAAAATGGGCACAGGACATAAGCAGACACTTCACTAAGGACAGTCAACAAACATACGAAGAAATGTTCATGGTCATTAACCATTAGAGATGTAAATCAAAATAACAAAGATATCATCTCATACCAGCATTAACAGCAAATATATATATATATTTTTAAGCTGGAAAACAACTGCTGGAGAGGGTGTGGAGAGTCTGGGACCCTCCTACACTGGTACTAAGACTGTAAAATGGTTTAATCGCTCTGAAAAACAGTATGACGCTTCCTCAGCTTCCTCAGAAAGTTGGAAAGAGAAATACCCTATGACGCATCAACTCCTCTACTTGGTATATATCTACAAGAAATATGAGCCAGGACATACGTAGATATATGCACATCGATGTTTATCGCAACACTATTCACAATAGCAAAAAGATGGAGACAGCCTATGTGTCCATCAATGGAAGAAGGGATAAACAAACTTTGGTACATACACACAATGGAATTCTGTGTAACATTGAAGAATAACAACAAATCTGTGAAACACCTCATAACATGGATGAACTTGGAGAATATAATGCTGAGTAACATAAGTCACAAAAGGACAAATATTGTATGAGACCTTTATTGTAAAAGCTTCAGAAAAGATTCTCATACTAAAAGAAGCATTTTTTTATGGCTACCAGGAGGGGAGACCAGGTGTGGCACTGGG